ATTTATTTATATATATATATAAAAACTCCACATGCTAAAACAGAGAAGCCTGTGCATGTTATCAATGAGCTACACCTTACCAACACCGTAAACAGGTTTAGCATTAGATTTAGTGAAAAGAAGGCTACAAACTTTCATTCAATAGCTATCCTAAAGTAGTTTCTTTCATGTTTTTACTCTTGTGAATTAAAACAAAAAGATACCCAACTTTTATTGTTTTATACTACATAGCAGAATTGTTTCTTTATATAAGCTACTTTTTGAGAGGCAGGGGAAAGAACAGAAAGAAAGCAGACGGAAATATTGATCTACTTACTTTCCGTGTCTGCATCTTTTCTGTTCGTCTTCTAAAAGCAACATAAGGGTCATTTGTGCTGGAACCATCTCGCTTCTCTTGTTTCACTGCTGGGATAAGAGAGGGACCTCGACAGTTTTTCCTCTTTTTAATCCAGTACTCATATACTTCTCTGATCAATTCATCATCTTCCTTCAGCAACAGCTTGGCCTCTTGCAGGCTGACTGGCTAAATGTAAAACCCAGCATGTCACTTTCATATAGCAATGTATAGAGTGCACATTTCAAATTCTTTATTCAAAGTACCATTGTACCTGCTGACCACTGCCCTTTTCCAGTCTGTCTATCATCTCCTCAAATTGCAAAGGAGAGATGTCCATTCTTTTCTTCAACTTATTCACAAAGATCTCATCTTCTGAATCCAAGTCATAATCCGGCTGCTCAGCATCCAAACTAAAAGCTGAAGGATACAGTGAAATTTGAAGTTACTTTTACTACAGAAATGTTTTGTTCTAACAGCAGTGTCTGGAGTACACGCCAGCTTCATCTGAAGACAAAATCAAAATCATTTGTTTGAATGTTAAAGTAGTACTACTTAGAAGTTATATCTAGTTTTTCTTGGAAAAAAATGACACAGTTAAAAATCAGGAACAGAAGTTGCTATCTATTAGGCTATGCTTTTGTTAACCAATGAAAGCTGGCTAGTGGTCAAGCCAGCTAGCGGCTTTCAAACTCATTATTTTCAGTAGGAAATTTTTAGATTGGTCAAAATTTTCAATGCTGTCTAGTATTCTGCAGTTTTATGTATTGTATTATCAATAGTTCAGACTTCAGCCCAAATGCACTTTAAAGGTACTTCTACAAAAGTACGTGCAGGTGTATTACAATGACCTTACATATATTCTCATAAATGATTTTTGTGATGTAAATGAGTCAGGCTAAACTGGCCCAGCATGGTCCACCCTACGTAGCAAGGCATCTTCAAATACAAGTAATGTTTTGCAGAACACAACTGTTCTGTTTTCCACAGTATCCTATGACAAAGCAGTATTCTGCATTCAAAACAAGACCTCCCTAGTTCTCATGCCTCATTCAAGTTGTTTTAGTTTGTAAGAAACATGAATTTCTTCCCAAGTGTACATTTGGAAACACATTGTGAAAGCTATCACTTGATTTTAATAAATAAATAGGTAGAACACAGTGCAGCTGAAAATCACCATTTCAGCTGTTACATCACTAGATAAGGAAAAGATGAATGAAAAAGTGCAACTGTAGTATCAGCATGGATATATGCTAGTATTAGTCTCTTCATTTGCTTAGCAGCATAGCAACATACTCTAGTCTACTGATCTTCCACCTGATCTAGTGGAAGATGTCCCTGCTTATTGCAGGGGGGTAGGACTAGATGACCTTTAAAAGTCCCTTCCAACGCAAACTATTCTATGATTCTAATACTTTAAGCCATCACTGACACTCGGACTGATACAGAAGTCTAACATTTAACCAGGGTTAATTAGGCATGAGATCCATTTACACAGCACAGATACCACTTCTAAAATTCTACTAATTACACCATACAACAAAATTCTCCAACAGATTGTATTTTGGATAATGTTTTCCAAAGTTATGTGAAGTAATGTGCTGCTCACATCAAGGGTCACATCCACACAGAATAGCTGCCATCTTCCAACAAAATCAAAATCCCAACACATTTACAAGTTGTTAGTGATATCAAAAAACACCTACTTTTGGATGTAGAATACTTCCATCCAGGCATAGGCAAATACTACTACTACTGCCACTTCTGCTTGGCTTCCCAGTCCACTCTACTGTCATTTTATCCTGGTTAAGCTTCAGTGGACAGGTACCTTCTTTCTTAACTATGTGTTATATACTCTCCTCTTCAAGTAGATTTGTGTCCATCCTTGCTAATGAACCTAAACTTCCCTGCAAGCTGTAACTACTAAGCGTTATAGAGGGCAGAAACATGGCTTTGAGATTGCTAAATTTAAAGTATTAACATATGGACATAGAGTCAAGAAGGACATCTATCTACTTCCTGATCAAGAACTAAATATACCTCTTCATTAAGAAGTATGTATTCCTTTACACATTGGAAAAAATTCTCAGAAGTCAGTCTGGATGCAAGCTCAACAGACATTCAAGAGTAATCGCTTGAACTACTAGCAAAATTAAGTTCTTGGTGTAGACTTCAATGAATGAGTTACTTTACTTACGCTGTATGTGAATCAGCTGCTTTGGCATTTTAAATTCTCCAGGATATATAGATTCATAGTACGCAATATTACTTTCTGCTTCTGGAACCGGTATAACCATGTTATCCCTCTTCTCTCCATATACTTGTTGTGCTGAGATAGCCCGTTGGAGATGATGTTCCTGTAAGCAAAAAAAGTCAAGATGAGTATCCGAGAAAATATTTTCAGAGCTCTGACTTTTTATAAGTTGAAGGAAGTCTATATCTTTGCAAATGCTCTGATTCCAAATCCCTGAGACCAGACCTGAGAAATCAGTATTGCACACTTGACTCAAAATGCACTCCATAAACCAGAAGGTTCTTCCAGTAGATGGAGCTCTCCCCTCTTACACAAACACACACAACACTTCAGTTACTAAACTTAGTAAGTCATGTTGCATGTTTACGGTTGGACTTGATGATCTTTGAGGTCTCTTCCAACCATAATGATTCTATGGTTCTATGTTCTTGGCACACCAAGCTACATAAATCCACCTTTACATATTTCTGGAGAGACACTTAAGATTGATTACACATACAGATTATAACAAGTAGTTGCAGACAGACATTCACTCTGTTATTATTCTGTATTTGCCACAGCCATTTACTGCCAGTGATGTCAGAAAACCAGAAAGGAGGCCTGCCATCATCTCCTATTAAGAAGACAAGCAACTATTTTTACCAACAGAATGATTCCTAAAGACATTCTGGTTTATTGCAATGCTTTCTATTAAGCTCCCCGCGCCCCCCCGCCATAATCGGTCAAATAAAGTTTAATAACTATAAACCACAAGGGTGAGAATAACTAACTTTTAGAAATCTGCAACTGTTTTTCAAGCTTAAAAGTTAATTACATTTCTATCTGTTACTACAATCCAAGCAACAGATTAGTAATATTACAAATTCTAGTAATTTTCTAATGCTACTATACAAATGCATTCCATTCTTCCTGTGGTGCTGTCGAGACAGTAAGTAGTATCAGCAGAGTTCATACAGAGTTACCAACAAAACCCCGCACAGTAAGATGTGTGCAAGTATATAAACAGTTTACTGACAACATAACAAGGCATCTTCTCCCTAGTACCAAAGCTGGTTTCTTAAGTTTCTCTACCGTTCCTTCCTAGGTGCTCAGTAAACCAGTACTGCATCAGTTGTGCCAATACAGCTATCACCAAGATGCTATAAACCAGATTAATGAAATACTTGAAACAGGAACTGCAGCGAAAGAGTGGCAGGGATAATTGGTTTTAACATTGAAGTAAAAACGTATCAGCGTTCATCTGTATGATCTTATTACATCTTTGTCCGACTTCAACTTACCCCCCTCTTCAGTTCAATAAAGGCAATTAACATCTTCTGTCTAAACGTAAAAACAAAACCCAAGAAAATTATAAAATAGGCTTTACCGTAAACTGCAGATATAGTGCAGCCTCAAAGTAAAATCCGTTCCAAGGTATAATTCCACTGCAAGGATTCACAGGATTTTAGCTTATTTTTACCTTTAAACAAGCTGCAGAGACTTTTTCCACATCTCTCCCCTGTTAAAAGTTTCTTCATGAAAAGAGACTAAGCGTATTAATAATACATACCATAAGACAGTTGTGAGTAAAACTCACTGGACTGATTTTGATCCTCTAGCATTTGTTAAGCAGAGACACGTCACCGAGGGGATGTGGCAGCTAAAAATCTTTATTGGGTATGGTACAAAATAATTTCTTTTCTACCTTTTAGTGAAGCACTGCTGCCAGACACCTCAAATTTGTGTAAACAGTAATAATTCTTCAGGATTTTGTCCCAACACCTACAACTGTTGCAAAACAAGCAATTAAGCTTCATTTCAATATGGAATCATAGATTCTTTATGGTTGGAAGATACCTCAAAGATCATCAAGTCCAACCTTCTACCCAACACCACCAGGACCACTAAATCATGTCTCGAAGCACCACATCTAAACGTTTCCTGAACACCTCCAGGGATGGTGAGTCCACCACCTCCCTGGGGAGCCTGTTCCAATGCTTAACGACCTATAGTACAGTAGGATTCTATATCAAATACATAGTAATAGTCAATGTTTTTTGAGTAACAGCAAAAGCTTATGGTTTTTCTAATCATATGAAGGATTCCTGGTGCGTGTATTCCAATTTGTGTTTTTAAACACAAAAAAGGGTTTGTTTCAGGGAAGAAAAGGGGGTTAGACACTAAATTAAGATTTCAGTTTCTTTGATCCATCTCCGATAGAGGAATGGGCACTGCTAGTTAGTACCAGTAGTCTATACTAATCTCCTAACAGGCTTCAGTAACAAGTATTTAAAGAAATCTCAATATTCTTGAAACAGAAGCACACATCATAGTTTTGCCTGTCATCCCAATTACAAGAATACCCAGTACTTGAGCAGAGACTGTTAGCCACCGCACACTATGAAAGCAACTAGATAAAAGTTCCCCCACTGAAAAAGGTAAACTAATCTGCTGTTCACATCTGTTTCAATTCATCACAAGAGACACTCCTCTAAATAAAAGAAAATAAGTAGACACGGCAACCTTTACACCCCCATGCACCAAGTTCTCACTTATTTGGACAGAAACCAGCAACAGCGACTTTGCCCCCAACTTCAACATCTCAGCTGGCGGCTCAGCACATTTCTCTCTCTTGGTAACAACCAGCTGCAATTGGTAACTCTGGAAGCACTCATTTTTTGACATGAAATCACGTTAAATATCTACAATTAACTAACCTACTACAGCTTACAGGTTCTATTCTGCAGTCATTCTCCACTGTGATTGCACAGTTGGTTATTCCCATCCAAATACACCTCATTCATTTGAAACCGTAGCCTTCCATTTAAAAATGCAGTGGTTTCCTCCATTTGTCAGAATAGGATTTGGAATTCCAAATCCTAATCAAACATGTTGGCTGCCCTTCATGTTATCTTGATTTGATATGTAAATGCTGTAGTCCAAGACACTTGTGAAAACACCAAGAGGCATTTAAAGACAGACCTCTTCAGAAATTTAACAGATCTTTTCACTTGGACCATTCATCCATTTCCAGATACAGTCCTCCAATCAGATGTATTTCCACTATACAACACTTTCTGTAATAGTGTTTCCATTTATTGCATAACAGAGTAGCATTAAAAAGCCTTTTTTAAAAGTCCAGATGCAACTATCCACTAGGTCGCCTGCCCTGTGACAGAAGGAAGTTAGACTAGATTAACCAGTTTGTTCTTGAAAAGCTAGTATTAGTTGTTCAAAGAGATTAGTATCTTCCAGGTGATTACTGGGGCCAAATAATTTACAATATCCACATTCCTCCAGAAACTGCTGTTAAGAAAGCTTCTTTGTAACTCTTTAGGCTGCCACCTACCTTTTCAACAGGCTGTTACGTGGTTTTGGTCTGGGTTTTTTTGTTTCAGGTTTTTTTGGTGGGTTTTATGGTTTGGTTTTGGGTTTGTGGGTTTTTTTTTTTTGTTTGGTTGGTTTTTTTAAAGAAGCACAGTTGCAGTGCCTTTTCCTCTTCTGCTCTAGAACATCATCTGCCCCTTAGAAGTTCGCAAGTAGCTGTGAAATTATTTCAGACGGTTTCTTTAAATTTCTAGCATGAAATTTAGGTCGGTTAGTCAAGCTCAAAGGCTGTAATTTGTCACATTAGAAGGAAACTCATCTAACAGTCACCTACCACCACAATTTGCAGTCTTGTGCCCCTTGCTGTCATTCTCTGTATTACCACTGCCTTATGCTAGACTGTCATGTGACGACAGCTCAGGGAACCAAATCCACAGAAAGCCATCTCTCCTGTTATTTCACCCGAAAACAATTAGAAGCAATCAGTCTTCTGACAAACAGGCTCCCTGAATCGCCAGTGTGGGTTGGGACGGGAAGCAGTGGGGAAAGGAAGGAAGGGAGAAAGATGATTCTCTTTGGTAGCAGCTAGCCATTCAACTGACTTAGTTACATCACTACATTAAAAAACGTCTTTTTAAAATTAATACCAAGGGCAAAAAAGATTAAGACTCACGAAAAGCTATGGAAGATAAACAATACAGCCATCTCAGTATCAAATACAATCAAGGTTTCCTCTACAAATATGTAGAGAATATTCTCTTATTCTGCACATTCATTGCTAGATGGATCTCACTTTGTTCCCCCTTTCAAGGTAAACTTTTCATGTAAATATTAATTGTTCATGCATTATTTGTTCCTATTCATCAGCTTCCACTTTCAGGGCATTCAGATTTCTGTGTTAAGGTATCCTTCTTATTGAAACTACAGTGGAATAGCTGCAGTTGTCTTACAAAAACAGTTCAAACTACTGAAGAACACAGGGGCCTTAGCAGTTTCTTCCCTCTCTCTCTCAACTTGCTTCTCCTGGATCTTTCATATATACCCTGTTTCACAACACATACTTATTGAAGGTAGCTTATTCTCACTGAAATTGGCTTCCACATCTATGCTTCACTATTTTCAACCTATTAGTTCAGCTTATATCCAGAAAAGCTTCCCCCTTCCATTGCGCTCTCCGCCTGAGATCAAAAGCTATCAGAAATACAACTTTGGGAGTCGGTTGTGCTGTGATGCTAATTTGATCCAGTACTTTCAGAAGTAACAGATGATACTGTTCTTCAAACTTCATTCCCTTTACCTTGTACTTATGCTCAATGAAAACTGTATTTAAAGCTCTTCAGAGTTCATCCAAAACCTAAAAATATGCTTGCTCTTCCCCCACCCCGCAGTTAACTCTCCCTCAGGTCAGTTTCTTACACTGGCTTATCACATGGTGAGAGAACCCAAAGGGATGCAGTAGGAGCACTCCGCACGGAGACAGAGGGTGTCTGAGGAAAAGAGCAGTTTCATCACTTTTTGCAACAAGTAGCCAGTAATAGGAAACTGTGCCTTATTCACCGCACTATATTCCTGTCCAGAAAAGTATCAGGACAGCTAAAATTCCAACACTTATCAGATTACCCTGATAGTTGTTTAAACCAAAAAAAACTGGACAACCACTTACCTCATTTAGAAATTTTCCTCTCATTAGCCTACAGGGAAAGCCCACCAAAAGAGTAACCCTTCTTCTGACTACCCAGAATGTAGCAAGGCATGAAGTACTTAAATTTCCTAAGCAAAACTGTATCTCGACACCATTCTGTAGTCTTCCTTTCTATTAATTTTAAGATAAGTTTGTCCCTTGTACCCACTCCAGTATTGCCATGCATGTTCCAAAACATCAAAGAGTGAAAAGATAATCTAAAGCAAGTTGGCAGCAACAAAGGCACTAGGGAAAGCAGGAACACAGCAGAACAGCTCCCACTGCAGCCTGAAGGAATTGGAACTTTTATTCAGCTCTGCTTTGGGGGCAACAGAACCCCTCTCAAATGATAGTGCAAGAACACGGGTGTAATTCTTCAAAACAAGTTTAGTGCTTGCATACTTGATGCATTTCTAGCACACTACATTAAAAAAAGCTGAATTAAAAAAAATTAGAACACAAAAGAAAGGATACTATAATTGCAGTTCAACCTGACAACAAGTAGGCACTCTTGCCTGCAAGCAAGAACAAACATAAGCGTAGCAACTGAATGCAAGCAGTATTTGCTGCCTTTCACATTTTCGTAATACTCAGCAAGTTTTTGGCAATGTGACTGTCGGATTCCAAGTTAGTTACAGTTTCTCAAAGAAAACTGGCACTGACAGAGCACAAAGATGTCTTTGATGAAATATTTACTCTGCAGCACACCTTGGAAACTATATTCAAAGATAACCACAACACAAGGCATTAAAGGACTAAGTGACATAACCCTGTCATTAACAGTTGAAAAACCAAAGGGACAGAATGCATATTATCACTTTAGAAAGTCAACTGAAAAACAACATTACTGCAGTAACAATGAGTGCATCTTCTTAAGAATGAAAGAACAATCCACTGTTTTGTAATTTGACTGCTGTTTCTTCAAACAGTTTCTCCAAAATATTCCAGAGTTCTTAGAAGAAATAATCATTTAAGGCACATTTACTTACAGAAATGACCAAAACAGCCAACTCTGAAGTCCAGTGCATAGAGCAGAGCAGAAAGTCTCCCTGTTCTCAAAGCCTACCATAATGAAGGAAGTGCACTCTTTGTTGGGGAAAGCAAAAGATGGGGTAGTGGAAGAAACCACACAGAGCAAGTGGAAAGGGTTTTTAAAAATACTGGTACTTGCAAAAAGGACATACGAGTCAGTTCAAGTCTGTGCACATCATAATCACATCTTTGCCTCTGAAATACAAAAACTGTACAAAAGGACACTACAATTCATCCTGTCATCACTGGGAGCGTCAAACCACTGCCCATCTACTGTTCTCCGCGGACCTGCTGATTCACA